ATTACCTTCTTCCTAGTTTCTTCCAATCAAATAAGAGCCTCTGGAAATCATAGCTTAGGAAAAGCCTCTCATTTTTATATCCTAACATATTTAAGATAAATTATAAGTAGTAATTTAACATTTAATATGCATTAATATTTTTTTGCCTCTAAAAATTAAGAAGATGTTCCTGCATTGCTAAAATTAATTCTGATTTCTTATGACCTGGTTCATATTCAAATTCTCCTAGTTTTTCCCGTGTGGTCTTTTACAGTCAGCTCCAATCCAAGACCACATAGTGCTTTAATTTATCATAATACTCATGTCTTAGGTTCCCAGAACCCAGTGAATATTGCAATTTGCAGGTGCTCACCTCCTTATGGCAGAGTATCTGTATGTAACCTATAGGTATGCTTCCATATACCCCCAATCATCTCTAGATTACTTATAATGCCCAATACCGTGCGGATTCTATGTACATAACTGTACCTGAACAGTGGCCATCGAGCCAGGGTAATGATACTAGTGATCTCAGGGCTCTGTCTGGGTCCTAGCTGGGTATAGCTCCCTCTCATAACACCTTAAACCTAAATAAACATGGCAGACTGGAGTCCTGAATGTCACCGAGTCTCCCTTGTAATGTGTGCATATGTGGGGAAAAGGTTGGGCTAAAGTAGTTCAAGACCCCCTTCCTGGGGGTCTTAACACTGTCTCCATTTGCTTCCACCTTCATTTGGACTAGAGTATTTGTGTGTATACATACATTTACACTTTTTTTCTTTTTTGGTGTTTTTGAGACAGGGTATCCCTGTAGCCCCAGATGACCTGGAACTCACTATGTAGACCAGGCTGGCCTTAAACTTGCAGAGATCTGCCTGCTTCTGCCTCCCAAGTACTGGGATTAAAGGCATGTACCACCACACCCAGCTTACGTTTAAAAAAAATATGATAAATTTTATTACTATTTTTCTTTTATGGCTTTTCCTTCATGGATTTATGGTCAAAACTATGATCAGCTTTAAATTTATTTTAAGAGTGAGAAAGAGCACATGAACATGCCAGATGGTTGACCAGTTGCCCATCACTAACTAGCCCAGTTTCTCCTTGCTAATTTGAAATGCTCTTTGTCATGAGTTTATGTGGTGTGGACTATATCTATATTAGTCTCTTCCATTGCTTTTTTATACAAGTAGCTTGTGGTTTTAATGGCTCTGTTGCATGAGAGATTGCCTGGCAAGGCCACATCTGCCTATCTTCCTTTTTCTAATTTTACCTTGATCCCAATAGTTTGGTTTTTTTTTTTCATATGATTTTGAGAGTTTGCATATCTTTTCCCCTTCACTAGTTATATTACAGTTGTTAATTTAGAACAACTCGACATCTTACTTTGAGTATGGGCATGTATTTAGTGAAGTCTTAATCTGCACCCTCCAATAGCATCCCCTAATCTCCTTCAATAGTTCTTGTACATTTCTTGCTAACTTATCTATTTATTATTATTATTTGTTGTTGCTGCTGTTTTTTAATTTTTTATTTCTTTTTATTTTATGTGTATGCATGTTATGCCTACATGTATGTACATGCACCCATGTTATGTACTACCTGTGGAGGACAGAAGAGGACACAGGATCCCCTGGAACTGGAGTTACAATCAGTTGTTAGTCACCATGTGGATGCTAGGATTCGAACCTGCATTTTCTGCAAAAGCAGCCAGAGCTGTCAACTGCTGAGCCATCTCTCCAGCTCCTTATTTATTATTTTTGTTTTATGTGTGTCCGTGTATTGCCTGCATGTGTATGAGAGCACCCGTGTCATGCAGTACCCACAGAGGTCAGAAGAGGGTGTCAGATCCATGGAACTGGAGTTACAAATGCCTGTTAGCTGCTATGTGGGAGCTGGGAACTGAACCCAGGTCCTCTGAAAAAGCAGCCAATGCGCTTAACTGCTGAGCCATCTCTCCAGTCCCCCATTTCTAAGTTTTGTTCCTAGGTAGTTATTTTGCTAAGAATATGAAATAAACATTTTTCCATATGCTTTCAAAATAGTTGTCAACTGTATATAGAAAAGCAATGACTTAGTTATATAAAAAAGGTTGTCCTCATGTTACTGAATTATCTTTTTTAATAGCTTTTGAAAAATTTTAAAATTTTATTTTTAATGTGTATGAGTGTATTGCCTGCATGTGTGTAAGTGCACCCGGGTCCTGAAATGCCCTTTAATTATCTATGATTTGTAATAACGTTTTGGATGATCTCCCTGAGATTTCAAACTATGTAACTATTTCATCTACTTAACAATTTTATCTCTGTTTTTTCAGTATTTTTAATTATCTAAATATGTTGTCTAGTATTGCCAGAGGAGGGGCCGTGGATAAGTTCTGGGCTTTGTTTTAGGGGCATCACTTTTTAAATGGAGTTGAAATACTTTCCTGTTATATGTACTATTGGTATTTGACCTGTGATCCAAACACTATATAGTTTTGGAATCTTTCCATGTAGGAAATCTGTCTTTAAAAAGTGTTTGCATCCAGAGGTAATCACACACCTATAATCTCAGCACTTAGGAAATTGAGGCAGTTGAATCAAGAGTTCAGTGATGGCCTGGACTATATACTGAGGCTCTTTCAAAAGCATTTTTTTTTCAAAAGTTTCAGGTGTTGCTCAGTGACAGAGTATCTGCTTTGCATGTGCAATATTACTTTATTGTTATGTCTGCTTCTCTCTTGGGAGTTTGGTCAACTTCAGTGTCACCAACATCTTGGTCAAGGCCATTGCATTTCTACACCCAAGGTGAGATCTGCATGTTTAGCAAAGCAGGGTGACTTTTGTCCTATCAATAATGTTCCAACTACACGTTGTCAAAGCAAAGCAGCACACACAGTGAGGTTATTGACTAGTCGTATTGACCAGTTTTCAGTGGCCGCACAGTTTCTTCAGTTGAGCACAATGCACATTGCTGCTGAGATCCATCTTCATGCCAAACCTCATCTTGTTGTTCCTCGTGTTCTGAGTATCTTCTTAAGCTTCAGTTTCCTTGTTATTATCCCATGATAATCACATTCTGAAAAATTCATTTTAATTATGTTTTTGCAGATGTCACAACTGTCAATTATTTGAAATACTGATGAATGGCTTTATTCTTCCTGGAAGCACAAATGAGCTATTCTTTGTTAATATGAGTCTCAACTGATTTTGCTTTTTCAGAGGTTGATGGCTGTACATTGAAAAACACTTCGTTAACCATGTATCATGCCATTTATTTTTCAAATGTGTTGCATCACTTCCAGACTGAATGCTGTGCTGGTGTAGACCCCAGAAGTCAGTTCCCAGTGTGGCCTCTCCATTCCTGCTCTTCTCACCATGCCATACAGTCCCCTCTTCACATGACCTTCAGCTATTTAGCAGATGGTTAAGGGGTAAGAAGTCCACCTTGGAGTCTAGGTTCAATACCAGGCACTAAGTATAGGCAGAGGCTTTGATCCAGAGTGTAAGCCACCGTGAGGATGAGGGGATTGGAAACTTACATGGATACACTGCACTGTTCCATGTGTGATGAACGCCTAGCATTTGCCAGGAGCTATTTTAAATATCTTTGTGTCTTTTTAAATCCTCATAGCACCTCAGTGAGGACGCTTCCATTGTTCCCCTCATATCACAGGAGAGGATGTTAAGACAAGGAAGTTAAGTGTCTATCACACAGATGATATACATCCAATTACATCTTTTGGTTCAGAGGATATGAAGAACATATGTCTAGGAAGGCCTAACAGCTATCTTTAAGTTTTGAAGAATTATTCATTGTGCTCAATTGATGAAACTGTGCAGCCACTGAAAATTGTGGACAGTAAGACTTCAATAATCTCATTGTGTATACAGTTTGGCTTTGCTTTGATGCTGTGTGGTTGGAACATTATTGACAGGACAAAAGTCATCCTGCTTTGTTAAAAACTGTAGGTTTGTTCTGTGGGAACTATAATATTTGGATCAGCAAGTGAAGGCTGTTGATTAGTAGATTTCTGGTTACTGTGGAATCACTTTCCAAGGATGAGAGTTATCTTAAAAAGAAGTAAGTGATCCTGAGTGGCAGTGAGGTACTGCAGGAAAGCTCCAGGGACTGGACAGTCCTGGCTGGAGAGGCCAGCAAAAATAGGCAGGCATTTAAAATCAGTGGGTCATATTGGTCAGCCTTAAGAACCCCAAAATCTTGATATGATTGTAACTAATTCACTCTCTACTTTGCATCAGGTGGTGTTATGTAAAGCACTACCAGTGAATGAATTCTAGGTGGTTAACATTACAGAAACAACCATACCAGGACTGAAAGATTACTTCATTCTAACAAAAATTAATAAAAATACTTTAAACTCAATAATTTATTATAGATTTTATGAATAACTAAAAGAGGAATTTGAAGGCTCCAAATACAAAGAAATGTTAAACATATAAGGAGACAAAATGCTAATTACCTAGATTCAGTCATTATAGATTTTGTATTATATAATATACCCCATGAGTATATACAATTATTGCATTCCAATTAGAGAAAAAAATAAAGTGAATACTGGTCTCAGACTCAGCTACAGAAACATGTGGATAGACCTTGTCAAAGCAAAGCTGTGTTCATGGTAGAGGCAGCACAGAACAGGGTTGAGAGCTAGAGAATGTCTGGTCACTGTGTTTGCTTCATTAGACCTCAGTTTCCTCACCTGTAAACTACTATGTTAAAAATAAAACAATCAGGCTGGGCGTGGTGGTGCACGCCTTTAATCCCAGCACTTGGGAGGCAGAGGCAGGCAGATCTCTATGAGTTTGAGGCCAGCCTGATCTACATAGTGAGTTCCAGGACAGCTGAGGCTACAGGGAGACCGTGTCTCAAAAAAGACAAAAACAAAACAATCTCAGTTTAAATCCCTTTGGTGATGTAGATATGAGGGTGTAAAACAAAGCTGGAACGTAATAATCAATAAATATTTGTTGTTATATTCCCAAGAATGTCTCTGAAATTTCAGCACTCAAATAGGATAAAAGGGAAATTATTTGTAATTTTACTAATTACTGCACAATGACACATTGTTTTGATGGAGAGAAATGGGCACACAGTATACAACACAAACATAAATCAAGAAAATACTAGATCAAGATGGAGTTGAGCTCTGACTGCTGCTAAGGTCTTCTAAGACTGTTACCTGCTTTTATTTACTTTAATCAGTAGCTGTTTCATTGAGCACTTAGGAGTATGTCCAGCATGAGGCTAAAGAAGAAAGAATGTAAGAATAATATTACGTGGCCCTTGGCCTTCAGTAGTTTATAATCTAGCTATGTGTGCTTAGAGAGACCCACTTAAAAATTCTAGGACCTTTAAACACAAATCATGTTTGAAAGTAATCACTTTGGGACGTTATACCCTGATTTCAATAATGCTGCCATTTCTCAGAATAGTTTTTGCCTCTTTTCTACTGAGATTATGTTTGTAGCCATGATAGAAATCATTTAAGAAAAGTGGACTGAATGCTTTATTTCAGAGTGATGCTCCATCTTCCTTAAGCTCCTCGTTTAGACACCCGAATTATTCACTAGGGTTGCTTCTCTCTGACTTCTGGTTATTTTTAAATGTCAGATCCACCCTGAAAAATCAAGTTTGGCTATGTCTGGTGATCCTTAAAAAAATGGACAGTGGATACAGAGTGTGTGGGGATCCAAGGGCTTCTCACTTTTCTGAATCTTCCACAGCCAATAAGCAGGGGCTCAGGAGGGATGTGTTGCTACAACTGAAGGAACTAGAGCTCACGGGCTGCTTAGCATCTGGACGATCAGGGCAGAATGAGGACAGCTGTGAGGAAGGTTCCAGGTGGGACTTGAAGTCATTTCTTTCTGTTCTGTTGCTTCAGATTTTTCTTTCTCTGCTTCTTACACATCAGGCTTTGATAGTGAAGGGCAGAAAGGTCTTCCTGAAGCTGGATGCAGATTCTCCCAGTACTCCCGTCTAGCCCTGGGTTGGAAAATATGTATCATTAATTAAAAGATCCATACTTATTGTATAAGTCCTATATATCACATGTGCATATATAAAACTGTGCGGGGGGAGGGATCTTTCAGAGACAGAGTCTCCCTGTAGCCCCAGCTGGCCAAGAACTTACTATGTAGACCAGTTTGGCCTTGAACTCATAGACATCCAACTCCCTCTGCCTCCTGAGTGCTGGGACTAAAGGCATGCACCACCATGCCTGGCCTGGTTTTACATTTTTAGAAGCAAACTATAAGCAAAGCCTGGAAGATTTAATTGAGATTACAGAAGGTTATAATGATTATAAACCTTAATGATATAAAAATAATGGTATAACATAAAGAAGTCCCCCAAAATGTGGCTGGGAGATGTCATTCAGTAAAGTACTTGCCACTCAAACATTAGGACCTGAGTTCAATCCCCAGCATCCACGTAAAAAGCCAGGTGTGGGAGCTGAAGAGATGGCTCAGAGATTAAGAGCACTAACTGCTCTTACAGAGGACCCAGGTTCGATTCCCAGTACCCACATGGCAGCTAACAACCATCTGTAACTCCAGTTCCAGGAGATCGGACGCCCTCTTCTGACCTGCATGGGCATTGCACGACATAGATGCACCTACGTATATGCAGGCAATGCACTCATACCCATAAAATAAAAATAATAAATATTTTTTTAAAAGTCAGGACTGGTAGTGTATGTTTGTAATCCCAGTGCTGGGGAGGCAGACAGGTGGGTCTTTGGGGCACACTGGCCAGCCAGCCTAACCTAATTGATGAGCCCCAGGTTCAATGAGAGACCCTGTCTCAGAAAACCAAGGTGCATGATACCTGAAGAGGAAAAATACCTGAGGTTGTTCTCCGGTTCCATGAGCACACGTGCATCCAATATCACACACACACACACACACACACACACACACACACACACACACAC